CATCTTTAGCAAACTACCATACACATATATACAAAGATCTGTGTTGACTTTATGCACCTCTGACTTTATACTTGCTCTGCCATGAACCAAAACATAGTAAAGATGGTGAGAAATTAAACCACTGCCGTCTCCCCTCTTCCTTCCATCCAGCTCTGGAAGTAGGTCTGACAAAGCAGAAGCCTATTCCAGAATCCCACAACCATCATCTACGGGCCTTTAACAATCTCAAAATAATACAACATTGACCATTAAGTTCTGGAACTTCTCTCCATCCACAAAGAATCTGACTGTACTCATTGATCATCATCATATTCTCTAAGTGAGATAAACATTTCACTCTTTTTCCATGGAGGAGCAGAGGGCTGTTGTCCAACATTGCATGATAGACCTGTTGTACCAAACAGAGCATGAGTATGCAGAGTTCATCTACTGAGAACTTCTATAAAGTACTTAGTGTGACGCAAAAACAGCTCTATATTGTCAAGGCATTGTGGGAATGGCTTGACGATATAGAATTTATGGTGTACAAAGTTGGGGATAACTGATAAAAATCACATGAAGGTGTTTATATCTACTTCAGTGGACTCATTCAATTGAAATGTGAAAAATGCCAATTACCCTATAAAATCACTAATGCTATTCTGAAAGAATAATATTGAGCCCTTTAAGTTCAATGATGGTCAGTTAAACAATTAAGGAGACATTAATAACTAATGATTTATTTAAAAATAAAGTATATATAAAATGTGTAACTCTAATTATATCTCATTTTATATATTTGGGAGGCAGACTGTCTTGTCTTTCTTTCCTTTCTCTCACCTCCTTCAAATGTTAATGAAGAAATACAAGTTTTTTTTTTTGTCTCCTCTGATTCTGCACACTTCTTTTTTTATCACTTTTTAAAAATTGATTTACACTGTTGATTTACAATGTTGTGTCAGTGTCAGGTGTACAGCAAAGTGACTCAGTTTCCATCTAAATAATTTCCCTGAGAAGAGCCTGTCTCCAAAGTTTGAATGAAACTAGCCGAAGCAACATGAGGAGCCCCACTTACTAAAAATAAAGAAAAAGCATGTGTAAGTGGCCATATTTTAGCTATCCTTCCACACGTCACTCTGGAGAAGTCTGCCCAGATGGCGCAGTCAGGGTTTCCTAGATTCAAACGAACTTCGTCCTTTTCCCTCCACTTTTCAAAGGTAAAGCAGATGTTTTTAAAATAAATGAGCATGTGGGAAAAGAGAGAATAAAATGTAAAGATGTTACATAATTTCCTTCTGAAATAACCTTTGGAGGATACCAAACTAACTGAGGTAGATTCCGTGTCTCCTAATGATGACAAATACCCTTAATTATGAGTAAATGTGCTATAAATATTATGATGCTCTGTGTTTTTCCAGTATCTCGTCTGCACATACTTTGTCTTCAAATCTTCTGTCTGCCTCCTATAGCAAAATCTGCTGCTGCATCCAGATTCTCTCTACTTGAAAAACACATTCATAATGTCATGGAAATATTCATGATCAAATGCTGCTTTTCATATCTACCACACAGCTGTTTAGTGATGATAAACCCAGTGAGCTCTGAAATTCTGTATAAAGAGAAGAGAAGGCATCCCCATGGCCAAAATAAACTGAAATCCATTTCTGAGTCACTTATAATCATTTTATATAACATTTACATTTTTTGCAAAAAACTTGAAGACATAATGCCAGGCTGTAGTAGACATTAATAAAGTTTACTGAGTTGAATTATTGACCTATCCATCATTTGATATCATTGGAACTCCAGATATTTCCTAAGACCCAGATAGACACACGGAGGCTGCAAGTGATGAAGGTCATTAAAGCAGTGGCTGGTTCCACCCATCTCTCTAACACTCAGAACATGGCAATGATAGAGTGCTATCACTGAAGATTCTGGCTAATACACAAAGGATTACACAACAAGCTACAACTAGGAAAGAAAGTCACCGAGAGGTTACATTTGAATTCAGCAAGTAAATGAGTAGCAGAACAGCCAAGTTGTCATAGGTGCAAACAATTGCCCCAACAGCCATTATTACAACTTAGGGAAGTTCACAGAAGTAAGATGTCTTTCTTATCAGGTATGTTTGTTTTAAAGTTGGTTCTAGGAACGCTACTTTGGCATCTAGTTGAGATGTGTATCATTCCATGGAGCCGTCTTTGACAGGATGGGCAGGGGAAACAATATGGTCTACCTGTGCACTTCTGGGAACCAACAGATTCTGACAGGCAGTAGTGAGGTCCAAGAAGAAGTGTCAGGAAAAATAAAGAATACTTTTTAAGTGTGTTATTTATTCATTCAGTCATGCATTCATTCACTAAATAGTTTTTGAGTATGCACGATGTGTCAAATCCCATTCTGGGCGTTAGAGATAAAACAATGAAAAATGTAGGGAACCCTCTTGAGAGACTCTATCGTAGAGGGGGATGAGGAGATAATAACCAAGTAAACAAATGCAAGCTGATTCAGATAGTGAAAAATGTCTGGAAGAAAATAAAGCAAGGGGATCCAACAGAGAAGAACACTGGAGCAGATTACATTGCTTGGTTGGTTAGATAAGGCCTATCTGAGTAGGTGATATCTGAGCGGAGACCTGTGGGATATTTAGGAACCTACTATGGGGGGGGGGGCGGGCAGAGGAATCCAGACAAAAAGAACAGCAAGTACTGTAAGTTAGACTTTTTCAAGAAACAGGCCGATGTGGCAATAGAACACATAGACCGCGACAATATTAAATAGATACTTCTATGCTGTGCTAAGGATTAGGGTTTGTACTTAAAGTGCAATGAAATCTCATTGGATACTTTAAAGCTAAAGCATGACGTGATCTGGTTATGTTTTCAAAAGATCACGTAGCTATTGTTTGGAGAATGTGTTGACAGAGGCTTAGACTAAGGTTATACCAATGGGAAGGGAGAAAAGTAGATGACTTGGGGCTACATTTTGGAGACAACATGACATGCTAATTAATTGGATGTACGGGTGAAAGAGACAAAGCAAGGATAACTTCTAAATTTTTGTCTGGAGTGACTGTGTGGAAACAGAAGAGAAATGGGTTTGGAGGGGTTAGATATTTGGAGTTCTGCTTTTGAGGTGCTTGTTAAACATAATAATACTATCTATCTTGTAGAGAAAACAAGAAATCTATGTGAAACATTTACCTCAGAACCTGGCACACAGTAATTGTTCAGTAAAAGCTATTATAATTATCTTCAAGTGAAGATGTAAAAGTAGTTGACATAAAAGAGCTCTGGAAGAGGTCAGGTGGAGATATAAATCTGGGAGTTATACAGAATTCAGTGATGCTCAAACTTTTTTTTTTTTTTTTTTTTTTTTTTTGCGGTACGCGGGCCTCTCACTGTTGTGCCCTCTCCCGTTGCGGAGCACAGGCTCCGGACGCGCAGGCCCAGCGGCCATGGCTCACGGGCCCAGCCGCTCCGCGGCATGTGGGATCTTCCCTAACCGGGATACGGACCCGTGTCCCCTGCATCGGCAGGCCGACTCTCAACCACTGCGCCACCAGGGAAGCCCCTCAAACCATTTTTGATGAAGGACTTTTTTTATTTTCAATGCACCATGAGTGGACCAATACTTTTGTAAAATCCAACAAAAATGAGTTACTTTACAAATAAAATAAAACATACAAAGTCCAACTAACTAATGTGCTTGGATGCCAAGGCAACACCAAACTGCTATAAAAGTTTCTAAGTCTTCCTCTCAATTTCTAAACATATCTCTCATTAGAGACCAATAAGGAACAATTTGTAGACCAGCAGAAGCCCAGGGAATATACTTTGAAGATCACTAGTACTCAGAGGCAGGGTGTAGCTAGAGAGGAAGGCCCTAGAGCAAGCCGAGACACAGTGCAGTCAAGTAGGGGTGGAGGTGGGGGAAGTCTAGGAGGGTGTTCAGTAAAGGAGCGTGAAATAATAACGCTGTTTGAATGCATAAGCACACAAGCAGTGGGAAACCATATACATTTACAAGTAATCAGTTTTAAATAGGTATAAGAAAAAAGCCTAATCATTCCTGCCAGGAACTCACTCCTCTTCCCACAGATGCCACATCTGAAGAGAAAGACACCCGCTTCCCTAATTCAGCCTCACAGACACTTCAATCTAATCATCGGAGATGCAGTCCAGCGCTGAGGATGCATTAAGTATCCAAAGCTCCTTCACTACCAAGCTGGGCTCCGCCTGGGAGCAGCACAATTATCAGACCCGATCGCTACGGAGCTGTCCGCGAAGGATGCTTCAGGCCCCAAGCACCAACACCTCTGTTAGTAATTCACTACACTTGCCCTGTCATCAGCATCTCTCACTCAAAACTCTGGCTCCAGGGGTCCTGACGTCTGAGACAGAACATATGCCCCAGACCCGAGAGCATCTGTGATCATTCTTAGGGAAAAGGGTCAGATTCTGGCTGAGGACTTCAATAAAAAACCCTTGATAAAGTCGAGTCTTTCGGTAAGCAACATTTGCTTAACTTCCTACTTCTCTGAACCCTCTCAATCAGGGACTGCCTCCACTGGGACCCCGCCGCTGCACCTGTTTTGTTCCTTAAAGACAGGATTCTGGTTTCAAACATTCGCCTGAAGCGCAGGGTAAAATAACGCGGGCTGCGGGTGAACGTGAAGTTGAATGAGCCTGGGCGCGAGAGCCTCTCTCATCAAGGGAGGTTCCCAGGTCTCCAAGGTGCCCGCGAAGCCGCGGACCCCCGGCGCCGGATCCCGGAGCTGCAACCGAGCCCCTCCGCGCCGTGGGCGCCGAGCCGAGGCGAGCGCGCGTGGGCCTGGCGGCCAGGGAGGGGCGGGGGCGCGCCGTGACTCAAGCGGTCGCAACCCCAGGGAAGAAGCGGCACCTCTGGCCGAGCCGGGCGAGGGGCTGCGCCCGCCCGCGGGGCGCATGCGCGCTGCCGAGAGGCTCCCGCTCCCTCCCCGCCCACCTCTCCCTCCTCCCCCTCCCCCCCCACTCCCTCCTCGCCTCTCTTCCCTTCTCCTCGCCAGCGGGGAGCTGAAGTTGGGCGGATGGCAGCAAACCGGCTCCGCTAGAGGACCGAGCAGCTCAGCCTCGCGCCCCCGGACCCATCGGTGCGCTGCCCACACCTCCAGGCGACTGGGTAAGATGCTGCCTCTGATACCGAGCGGTGCTAAGTAAATGACATCAAAATGTCTGCTTCGCACCGATGGATGAATTTTTTAAAGGTGTGGGGGGGGGGGTGCGGAGGTGAAGGAAAGAGGGGGCGGAGAGTGCAACTGCCTGTGCCCGGGCGGGGCAGTCAGCCGGCGCAGGGGTCTCGGCGCTGCCCGCGGCGCCGCGGGAGGAAGCCCGGGCCGCGCCGCTGGTTTGGGAAGTTGGATCCCGCGTTGCAGCCTCTGCGCGGTCCGCTCGTCGCCCTCCGGCTGCTGCGGACCAGCTGGGCGAGTGTCCTGCCGGCCCAGGGATCCTTCAGTCGGGTCCCCGGCGGAGAGCTGGGCGCCTTGGGGATCCAGCAGCGAGGGCCGGGGGCGGCGGGAGACCCCGCGGGGCGCGAGGACCTGCCCATTGGGGTGGCTGTTTGTTAGAAAACCGAATGTGAAATTAACAGTGTCCAATCGACCGATCACCTCGGGGTGGTATTTTCTCTTTCTTCACCTTTGGGAAAATGCAGGTGGTGAAGGTGTGAGCCAAACGGGGTGCAAAAATGCATACCTTGAGCATCGATAAAATATCGGAGGTGTGTGGGTAGGGGGCGGGGGCCTCTTTTGTTCTTTCCCCTCCTTCTGGTCGGAGGGAAGGGAGTTCTAGCGTGCACGGCTTGAGGTAGATTTCACAGCCTTCGAGGGGGCGAGGAGGTGGAACGCCTGCCAACCCCCTAGCCGCTGCCCGGGTGGGTGTATCCGAGGCTCTCTTGCTAGAGGTGATGATGATTCTTTTCATTATCGATAGAATTACAGTTTAACAGCGGCTTACCCGCCAGCCTTCCTCCTCCTCTCCCACTTCTCTTGCTGCGGCAGAGGCTGGGTGCAGACACTCGGCCGTTTCCTCTACTCCCTACCTCCCTTTCTCTGTGAAAAATGTCGGAGGACTTGAGGATGGCGGAGAGACAGAGCTGGCCTCGGCAGCCGCGGAGGGGAGATGCTCCTCGCGAGCGGGAGGCTGCTGGCAGGGCGTCCCGGGCAGCCCGCGCAGCCTCAGGAGTCGCTGGGCTCCTGGAGACAGAGCAAGGGTCGCCCGGCCAAAAAGATGCCGGCCGTGCGGGGACCCGCCCTGCGCGCCGGGGCACCCACTCACCTGGGACAATCTCGGTCGCTCCGGCAAGACTGCTCCTGGCTCCTGGCATAGTAGTTTTCCTAACCACTCTGACCCTTCGATAAACGTTTCCTTACTTAAAAGAGTCACTTGAAGGTTTGTCTAGAGAACTTTGCAATCTTCCCACAGTTGTTTCTTTTTCTTTGTAAAAATCGTTTTACAGCCAGACTATTTCCATCATGGGGTGGCTATCACAAACAATAGAGAGAAATCTTGTAGTTGGATTCCCATTTAGAATAAGCGTTTCTGAGACTGCCATCTGCATTTCCGGCGTTCATACATACTGGTTTTCCTGGTGATGAACCCTCTGAAAATCATTTAATTGGAGAAATGAGAAACAATTTTCACTCCTGTAATGAAAAATAATGTTTTTCTCTCGGTTTCATAGCTGCTAGACATTATGTGTGTTTAATACTTTGGAAAGCTGTGGAACACTTTGGGTAAATTGTATTTGTTTCTAAAATCCTTTGTGGCAACAATAGCAGGTATCTATGAAATATACACTTTGCACTGATATCTAATGAAAGGGTGGTTTGTACTCATAAATTCAAATGAATGAGCAGTTTGACCTCCTCCAGTTAAGTTACTATTATTAAGCTGTTTCTTCTGTTAGCAAGAGCTAAAACAGTAATTAGCACACTCATGGGAGAGGAGACTTATTCACTATTTTAATAATCTTAAAAACTATATTTAAAGACATCATGGTAGGGTAGTTTATTTACAATTTTTAGAAATGAGAAAACAAGTGTTTATCACTACAAAGGATTAGATGGTATCATTTATTAAATAAGATGAATCGCCATGGCAATGGCACCTGATCTCAGAGCCGTGGGCACTCATCCTTCCTCCTGAATTTGTAGTCTGAAAGATTAAGAGAACCACCTAATTTACAGAACAAACAACATAAGGTGTCTGTTATGGCAGACTCTACCCTTTTTGCTCTGGTTCCTCAACTACTCCTTGGTGTTCAGTGGCCATAGAAGGGGATTAACAAGGAGGTTAATTTGCTCTTCCTGTTCATTAATAAGGCGTCCATTTTCCTGCTCACATAGATATCTCTCTGCTTTTAGGGATCTTCCTACAGGGTCCTAATTTATTTGAACTCATAATGTTGAAAGTCTAAGTCATTATCATTTCTATGGACTTCGTATAATTTTTAATAATAATAATTTTAAAAGAAACCAAAACATTCCTTAACATTTCTTACCACTAGGGCCAGGAGCTTTGAAGAAAAGGAGACATGTACATATCTTCACCCACGTGACATTATTATAACAGCCAAATCTAAAACTAAATTGATAAAAATTCTGGTTGACTCACAGACTGAAAAGCAAGAAAGCATTTACCTGTTAATTTACAGTTGTAGAGATAGTGGCCTTCAGAGTAGAAGTCCATTTGCTGAAAGGCATGGGCTTTTCTGGAAAAGTGAAAGGTGGACATGGATAAGGAAATGTGGAGCGAAGATGGACGGGAACCCATCCAACGGCATTTCTGCTGAGAAGCCTTTTTCTGATAGTGCATCTCTGCTTACTTAACAAGGAAAATATTGCACCACCCAGAAGGGCCAATGCAAGGACCACTGTATACCCAGTGGATGAGAATAATTCTATGTGATGTTAAAAAGCATTTTATTTCATCTGATTACTACAGGTAGAGTATAAGCATGAATTCATTGTAGAGGTTTAAAACTGTATGACATTTCCAGGGGGTGTCCTGGATCCTTGGAAATATTATACATTTTTATGGAAGGCTTAAAGAAATAAAAGTGTCCTTAGATGTAAGTAGCCAGGTCGTTGTTTTTTGTTTGTTTGTTTGTTTTGGTTTTGGTTTTTTTTTGCGGTACGCGGGCCTCTCACTGTTGTGGCCTCTCCCGTTGCGGACGCGCAGGCCCAGCGGCCATGGCTCAGGGGCGCAGCCACTCCACGGCATGTGGGATCTTCCCGGGCCGGGGCATGAACCCGTGTCCCCTGCATCAGCAGGCGGACTCTCAACCACTGCGCCACCAGGGAAGCCCTGCCAGGTCCTTTGATATTAGATTGATAGATACTCTCACCCTCACTATCTCTTCCCATCTCCACTTACCCGCTAAAGACTTCCACTCAAATGTATAAATAGATTCCGAATGACATGGAAGGAAAATTATTTACAGTAGTTTACTAGATCGTCTGGCAAAAGCAAGTGTTAAATAAGAACTTATTCAATTAATAAATTTTGCAGAACTGGCATGGTTCACAGAAGACTTCCAAGATTTTTACATTTTTTTTTTTTTCAGAAGAGTGATCATATTCATTACCAAATATACTACATCTTTGGAGGAAACCATTTTTAGAATTGTCACTTTGTGAATATGCATGTTTTTCCTATAATATTTCTATTGTTGATCTGTTTCCAAACAAAGTTTAAATTACCTGTGGGCCGGCATGGACATGATGAACATGAGCTTTGGGTCAAGTTGACCTTAGCTTTTGTCCTGGCTCCTCCATTTAGTAGCTCTGTCGCCATGGTCAAGTTACTTACCAGCTCTGAGCCTCAGTTTCTTCAGATATAACAGCAGGGATAGAGACCCACTTCCTAAGATGTTTGCAAGCACAAATGTGGTGCAATGTGTATAAAGTGCTGAACATGTGCCTCGCATGTTTCCCAATATCTAAAGAACCGCTATTGAACATATGGGGAAATTTACCACAGGTTCGTTTCCTATGAATAAGTGGGACATTTTTTAAAGAGGTAGAATCATATTGTAGAGCCTCATACTTGCTTTTTTAAACAATTGACATTACTTTGTTGACGTTTCCCAAGAAATTGGAATTGGTATTTTTAATATAATTTAGTGACTGCAAAATAATTCATCTTATAGATGTCAATTTATTTGGCTATTCTTTCTTTTTTGAATGTTGACGTTATTTACAATATTTCACTGTTTTAACTGATGTGCATCCTAAAGTATAGGCTTTGTCTGCATATCTATGGCATTTTTTCCTTTAAGCTTGATACTTAGAACATCTAGTTCTCACCAACAAAATATCATCTTTTAAAAACTCTTTGCTGGGCTTCCCTGGTGGCGCAGTGGTTGAGAGTCCACCTGCCGATGCAGGGCACACGGGTTCGTGCCCCGGTCCGAGAAGATCCCACATGTCGCGGAGCGGCTGGGCCCGTGAGCCATGGCCGCTGAGCCTGCGCGCCCGGAGCCTGTGCTCCGCAACGGGAGAGGCCACAACAGTGAGAGGCCCGTGTACCGCAAAAAACAAGAAAACAAAACAAAACAAAAAAACCTCTTTGCTAAATCTAAATGCCCATGGACAGATGAATGGATAAAGAAGATATGGTACATATATATATAATGGAATATTACTCAGCCATAAAAAGAAATGAAATTGGGTCATTGGTAGAGATGTGGATGGACCTAGAGTCTGTCATGCAGCGTGAAGTAAGTCAGAAAGAGAAAAACAAATATCGTATATTAACACATATATGTGGAATGTAGAAAGATGAACCTATTTGCAGGGAAGGAATAGATACGCAGACATAGAGAACAGACATGTGGACATGGGTGGGGGGGAAGGGGAGTGTGGGATGAATTGGGAGATTATGTTTGACATAAATACACTACCATGTGTAAAATAGATAAGTAGTGGGAACCTGCAGTATAACACAGGGAGCTCAGCTCCGTGCTCTGCGATGACCTAGATGGGTGGGATGGGGGGGAAGAGAGGGAGATCCAAGAGGGAGGGGATATAGGTATACATATAGCTGATTCACTTCATTGTACAGCAGAAACTAACCCAACATTGTAAAGCAATTATATGCCAATAAAAAAGAAATAAAAAT